TCGCCGACACGAAAACTGCTCATTATCTCGAGGTGAATGTGATGTATTTTTCGACTCCGCAAGTCAGTTAAATTCTCATCAGATACATGTACTAAGAGGCCGTGTGCTATCCCATTTATCGACCCATACATCCTCATATAACACGCTGCACTGACAGACGAGATGTTTTTGTTGGTGAAGAAAAATATACCTCAGGCCGCGTTCAGATCTAAAACATCGTATCAGCTTGGTCGGGGGGGGGGGGGTCTCGCTAAATTGCATTAACTGTAATAAACTTAATTGTCTGACACGCCTCCTTGATTAGCTAGGGGGTAATTAACTTTCTAGTGAGCTCGGCTTAATTACCTCCTAGCAGTTCAGACATTTAAGACGTGAACAGTGATTGCAGGGAAAATCTCCCTCAGAGTTGGATCGATCCAGCTAGCACAGTGAGTTTATCTGAACGCTCCTCATGACACTGACATTTATTTATTTATTTATTTATTTATTTATTAATTTATTTATTTATTTTGCGTGCACATTCTATATATCTGCCCGGCACATCATTATGGTGTTTGTCTGTCCTCTGTTACTTACACGGTATTATCTCTCGAGAAGCCGTGTCTCTGCCACCTGAAACAGGTGAAAACATTCTGCCATTACGGAAGTATAGGCCATTCAGTTCACGTGCATATCTCATCTACATGGTGCACATCAATGTTATATTCGTCCCCCATATTATACTTGTTGTCAGTTACTCTGTCGCATCAGTAACATAAGTACCCTTCACAGTGCACAGTATTGATAGTAATAATACCAAGTGTTATCCTTGGATGGTCCATTAAACGATAATGCTCATAAATGAGCTATTACCAGTATTGACGTCAATCTGTTGACTGATATCATTATCAGAAACGATTGAATATTTAGTTTTTTCGCATAGAGCGGTATACTTGAGCCATGCGTTATACACGGTAACCTTGGGGGGTTCTAACACATTATTACGCCTTGGGGGGGGGGGGGGGGGGGCTTTACCACCTTTCACAAGTTCGCAACAAATTCGCTTCCTGCTGTTAGGTTAATTAATCCATTCATTAATTTATTAACGATAATTGCCGTTTGCTAATAAGAGCCTTTGATTCGGGAGCACAAATGCACAGATTATCGACTCCAGCCACGAATTAAGTACCCCAACGTGAAATTACTTAATACAATCCCAGCGTTTTATTATACAAACTATTTGGCCAGCTTCCATCCGGATCTCTGGATGTATACAAAGGCCCTTTAACAATTGAATGATGACCATGACCATGTACTTTTTTTATTTAGGAACGGTTTGGCCATTTACTTTTAAGAGAAATATGCAGATAGCTCTTTACAAACAATATTAGACGTGGAGCAACACATAAATTTTCAGTATAAAGGCCATATCCAAGATGGCGGTAGACAACACGTATTGCTCGTTTTTCGGTATGATGTGACATGATTTCGTGTCCTCGTTTTGAGTAAATTCCCTTGTTAGATGACAAGGAGATGGAAACGCGTAGCCTTTATATAGAAAATGTATCAAATGCTTGCTACTAGATTTATCAGTTATGAAATACTATTATCATTGACTATTTTTTTTGTCTAGAGCCTAGCCACTTAAAAAATCTGTCTTAGTGGTCGTGAGGTTGCTTGAATTCATTTACGAAACAATTCAGTCGGCCTAAAGTTGAGACAGTGTGTCGAAATGAACCTGCGATTTGAATCCTATTCGATAGACAGAATGCCGTCGGCTCGTGGGCGACAGGTATTCATTTAAAAGGCTTTTTTTGTCAGTCCAGAACGTGTGTTGTTCTATGCAAGCTGCGGTTTTGTTAGTTTTTCGTGATTTAGCTGCTGTGTGTGGTGAAACAGGATATCCGTCGATTGACGCAAAACCATTCGCTGTTAAAGCTGAATTTCATTACACTTTATAAATGGAGACGACGTAGAAAGAACGGTTCAAACTAAGCTTACTTCAGACCGAAAATTGGGCAAACTGGCGTCTCCAGATGACCCCTTTAAATTTTGAAATATCTGAGATGCTGAATGCGGTTTCTCTGTGACATTAAAATCTGAAAACTACAAGGCATATAGTTATTGTTGACATAATTAACCTTTTGAAAGATGTCCTAAATTTTCTTTGTTTTTTAAAACACGGCATTACACATATTGGAAAGAAGAATCAGTTGATAAATTCATTCCGGACGACGTTCAGACATCGTTCTAAGCAGGGTATGAACACCTTTTGATATTTTTTATCCGATCTTGGTATGTTTAAACGAACGAATGAGTGAATGGAATAAAGTTGACCGAGTCCGTCTTCGTTAGGCATTTCACTGCATCATTTCGCCCTCTTCGACTTAAAATAAAGTTGATTTAATGTGGAAAGCATTCCCCTTTTGAATAGAACTTTTTAAATGTATGCGATACTTGAGAGTTAACTTAAAGACTCTACCTAACATCTACTAGTATTATTTCCTTGTCATAGATTTTTTTCGTCCGTAATTTTTATCATTTATCATGATTTGGGGCGAGCAGATCGATATTAATCAGGCCAGTATACGTATAGCGTTGTTATCTACATAGGATAGCGTTCTACAGAAAACCGTCGTGTTTGATTCATCTCCGTAGTCCATCTATAACGGTTGCCTAATAGCGCGTTGCGGTGAAAATGTCGGTCCGTTATCGTCCTAGTGTGACCGGATATGCGTATTATACAAGATATGCGCCCCAGGATCGACTGTGACCCAACGTCCTCCCTGATGCATAATCCGGTTTGCACCGATTTGTACAGGTAAACCACGTCCTAGATTTCCATCCACTTACGTCAGGCTTACCTTAACCAGTGTGAATCTAATGGAAGATGGATTCTCTGTTACACGAGCCCAGTTAAGTGCTTGATACAAACATGAAAAAATGGTTTTCTTGTTTTTTTAAGACTATTACTTTTATTCTGATGCGGCGTTAACGGTTGACACTTGTTTGATAAAAATTAGCTCATATGCTTATTCTGATATATATGCATACTTTATATGTATGTCTGTTGTAAGCGTGATTAAATCGGTGTATAATCAAGAGGGTTGCCTTCCCCGTTTTATATTTGTTATTATATGTGCCATGGGAATTGGAAAAAAAACATGACTTACGTGTGTGCTAAAGGTCGACCCATTCATGCGGCAGAATGGAATCCTGATAAACGGATAGCCCAATCACGGAGTCTCGTCACTTCCTTGTTAGTAGAAAAGTAATTACATTTTCCGCAACAGCTTTATAAGGCTCCGTGGTTTATGGTTTAATTTATCGGGAGGCCCTAATCAGGATCTTGACAGCCGCTACCGTTCTGAGTCTCTTTTCACACCGAGCAGTGTACTTTCCTTATTAACTCCGTCCCGGTGTAACGAAACTGAGGGTCCTAGCAACAGAAATTCCACCCTCCAATAGTTATAATGGTTAGGGTTAGCCTGACCTTAGTGGATCAAAATGTAGGGCGAGGCTTACCTGTACAAATGAATGGGAAGCAGACTCTCTATCATGGGGGACTCTCTGTCACGTTACACCGGTTAATTAAAGGAAGCTATTATGTAAACTTGCAGGCGTTTGAAACCTTTTAAACTGAATTTTCTCTGCTTAGTCCTTTTAAAGGTATGCAGTGTGCCCTCACACTCCACTTCCCTTACCGTATGCTTTTATTATTTACATTCTGGGCGATCGCCTGATTAAATAACAGTAAATAATAAAAATGATAATAATAAACTGATGTAAGATTAGTGTAATCGTTGACTCTGACCGGGGAGTCATACTGACCCGTGAATTGACGTGTCCTGATTCGTAGGCCGAGTCTGTCATTCGTTCAAATCTCTGTACATGTATGTTTTTCTAAGAACGTTCCTACTTTTGATACAAATACAAGATTTCCTGTCGGAATGCTGCATTCCATACAATGTGTACGCGTAACTTGACACATAACTAAAAAGTTATCAGGCATATTCTCTGCTGTATTAGATCGTATATCACGTCGATAGTACAGAAAACCGGCAGTGAACCGTTCGCATGATTTGCCGCAAGCTGAAACTCGTGACTTTATTATCAATAGCCGGGAATCGTTTCTTGGAAAATATCATTAGAGAACGGCGCTTTACTAGGGTGTTGTTTGAGTGCTTAATTCGTGCGAAAAGCTGCGGGAAAAAGAGATCGATACGAGGAAAGCATAGAGAACCGCGCACGCATTAAGAGCTCGGCTCGCGTAGAACTGACTGGCTACCGAGAACGAGTTTTTTTTCAATTTCATTCATCGTGTCGGGACAGATTGCGGTGGAACTCGTCCCTCGATATGTGACAATTATCTATGCTGGATGTATATGTATATAACGTAAATGAACCTTGCATTATATCGTGAAAGCAAAACGGATCTAGCAGCCAGTACGGAGAGTTGAGCTTGGTTGCGTGCGAAAAGTTCGCTGAATAACAAACGGCATTGCTTCATAAATTCGACATATGAATGGCGGCAGTTGTCAAATGAAATATTAAATAAGGAACACAATGTCGGAAAAGAATGTGTACCTTGGCTTCAAGAATGTGGGCCTACAGACCGGAAGTTACGTCAGTTTGGCGTCCAGCAGCGCTAGGTACCAAGGTCCAGTTATAGAGGCGTTTCGCAATCTGACGTCCGTTTTACCACCACTGACCAACGGGAAGGACGCCGAGGATGCGGATTGCCGTCCAAAGACGACCTCCCCAATGGACTTGAAGCCCGTTATTTTGTCAGGCTACACTAATCCCTGCAGCGTGGATGGTTCCAGCCCGATTTTAAACGGGTGCTCAAGTTCCAAAGAAGGTTTTTCGGAATTACTGCAGCGGCGCGGGAACGTTCTTCGAGGTGTCGTGTTGGCTGGCAATGCCGAGGAAACACACAACAGCGCGCCACGGGCGCACCCTTCAGTACGACTTGCATGGAAACCTTTTGTTAAACACGAACGTTTCATTTCTTGTTTCAGGAACAAGGAGGATATTAAAGACAGTGATGTGCTCGTCAGTGAGAACAGTCAGCGTGCTTTGATCACTCCCACTGTAACAACTCAGAACCAGGTGCGTATCGGCCCGTTTTCTCTTTCTTTCTTTAATATTATATTATATATATATTTTTTAAATCTCTTTGCTTTCATTATTTTATTGAGTATTTTTATTGTAATGATACGTGCAGCTTTGAAGTGCAATTCAAAGAAAGCACATAAATATCACATATCTTTGCAAAAGTTGCATAACACGGCGCATGCGTGAATGTGCTTTCGTCCATAGCTCCGACCGTGTGCGCATTGGAGTGAAGATACATGCAAACAGACATTACTTCTAGACCCACTGACGTCACTTCCAGGAAACGATTTCCATGTTAATGATGCCCCACGCATATGCAGGACTAAGGCAAAGTATTTATCGCCTTGTTTTGCGCCATGCTAATGAAATTGATAAATATTGAAACTGTTAATTTGTAACTCGTCTCCACATTCCTGACCCTTTTTTGTTGTCTGTCGGCAATGAAAAGTGATGGTGAATTTCGCAAACCATTTTCATTTCCTCTTTCATTTTGAATAGAAATTTCCGCTTCTTAAATGTTTGTTAGAAAGCCGAGAATCATAACCTAGCGTGCCAAGCCGGGCTATTGCTCAATTTGTACCTACTAGCACGAATCCAGTTAGAGCAATTACGTCTCCCCCTCAAGCCCGCATATGATGAGGCTCGTGACTTGACTGTTATTCTATATGATATTATCTCACTGAACATTATATAGCTTCGTTCACCCGTCTCTTTGTTCTTCAGCGCGTAAGTTGCCATTGTTACTCTCACGCATTAAAACGATCACATAAACGCTACAGTTCATACCATTTTATAATAATTATAAGGATATAGCAAAATATGCTTGAATTAAGTTACACTGGAGTTAATGCTCAGAATGAACCAGCATTTCTGATAAAATAGACTCTTCCTCATTCCGATATCCTGGAATTTAGTCAGAAATAAGTTCTCTGAAATCATTGGATATTAATGGGTCTTGTCTTGGGTAATGTATGACCGATGCCAGCGTGTTCGTGATTTGACCGTCCCGAGAAAGTCGGATTGCAGTTTAAAGGTATCATATCTGGGATGTTCGCACCAAATCTAATTTTCCCCTAGAAGAAGCAATTTTCTCCTGCTCTAAGCATTTAGACCGACATTGTTTTCTTGACATTTCAAAAGTTTCGACATTTATTTGCGGTGTTATTGTCCAATTTTTTAGGCCTGAAGCGAGAAAGATAAGAAGCAGGATAGGGCCTATTCAGACAAAATGTGACTTGGCGAAATTTCAAATGCCTTAAAAGGCATCTTTATGTATTGTTGTCACCACATTTCATCTTTATGGTAATTAATGCATCCTTAGTGTAGATTACGCTCCCTACCGCACGATCCTTCCCAGACGTCGTCCGAAGGACAGAAGAAATATAAGCAAATAAAGCTTGTGATGATGTTAATGGGATGAAGAGATGGCAATAATTTTAACGTGATTAAAGTACAGTCGAAATTTAGATAATGACTTTTTCACCAACCGTTCTTAGCGGTAGTGCCTCGATCGCCTTTGTTTATTTTTCAATAAAACTGAACGTTTTATGTGTCTGCATCTCCATTAAAACGCGAACAGCAATAAAAGAGTTGGATATCTTCGTTCTGAAACAATCGCGCCTTTTTTGAAAACAGTGCTGATTCTGCATGATGAAGAAGACGATCTTAACACGACGGTCTGATCACATGATATTGGAGTCACGCCACACCGGATGACGGTTGACGTAAAAGATCCAATAACACACTCTCTTCCTGTCAAACTTGTGTCATGACAAACGCTCCGCGCCCCGGGAGAACCAGTTAATCAGGTTACCTTTTGTGGCCGTGAAAACAGAATACACACACGCTAAACTGACACGCCTTTTTTATTGAAGACATTGTTCAATGACCGATGAGAGTAGTTGCAGGAAGATGCACAGACTTGGTGAACTTGATGCCGTGTCCGCCCTTGCTTCCGGCGCCAATTTCTTCTCACTTGACGGTATTACATGTACATAGTATTCTGTATGATCTGATACCCTGGAATTTTATCTCCCCTATTGAAGAGCAGTATCTTTAGAGAATGTCATAACAAAGGTATGAGTGTAATAGCACGGGAGATGACTAAATCTGTATGATTGGTTTTCTTTGCAGAGCGCAATATGTCATTTCATTTAGCTCGCGTGCGCGTGTATATCGACCACGTTTGCTCTCTCGCCACTGCTGTAAGTATAAGTACTCGGAGCTGTTGCACACCTGTCACTTTCTTCGGCAAGTTAATTTTTATGGCACATAGACAAAGGTATTAAAAGGTCGCCGTTTTGAACAGACCCTTCACGCGTGAAACGGCTTTGTGACCAGCAAGATGTGATTGTCATGTTTTGTGTTGTAGAGAGCGAGGAAAAAATCTTAATGTTAAGTGTCCGGGATTCGTTTCACGGCAGAACGATGCGGGTGAAAAGCAATAACATTCAGTCTGGCAGCTAAGCGGATCATCACGCTGTGTTAGTTTTTACCAATATACCTCACTGGCAGCGACGATATTTCGTGACAAGGACTTGCATCTTGTTCAAATCACCTTATGAATAACATGAAAAACACCTGCCCCCCTTTCCCCCTTTCTTAAAAATAAGGTAAATAAAATGAAATAAAATTACAAAAAAAAAGAATTAGGTAAATGGATGAAGAAGGCTAGGACGAGGAAGCATAGATATAATGTCGTTGCACCAAGCATGTGACGTCATTGCAACGTCACAGCCAATTTGGACAAGGAAATAGTGCATCAGGCTCACAGTAAAATTTCGTTTTTTTGACAAGGGCAGTTTTTTTCCAAAATTTCACTTATATCTTGTGTTTGTTATCTTCCTAACGTTCAAAAACTACAATCCATAAAATTCGAAAAGAGGTGGTAATGACATATAACCAACCAACCATGTTTCCAAAATAGACTTATTTGACAGCATGCTTTGAGAGTACCAATTAAAGAGTAGCCGCAGTTGGGTTCAGATGAAGGGCAGAGGTTCCTGCTTCATTTGAATTTTCCCCAGGGTCATTTCACTGATAAAGTCGCCCGATGGGCGGGGTTCAACCCCGTCCTTCCCTACGGGCAAGTAGGTGGTTTTCTTTCGTCATTGTTCAACCTCCTGCAGGGAAATTCGTGTCACGGATTCTAAACCAGTGGTATATTAATGTGTACGTCCTTTGGTTTCAACCAAGTGATATTGCAGTTGACATGCAAAGCGAGAGATCGACACTGCTTAGCACGTTTTCGCCTTAGGTCGTAATACGACGAGGAATGCATGTAAAGTTTCAAATTGAGGGGAGGGGAATAGAGGCTTATCATTTTTAGATCGACTCCAGATCTTGGAAGTTGCTGCTTTTCATGATCTTTAGATATTTTTCCATTCTAGTTTACCATTCTGTGGATTTCTATGGCTTTTCGTTGAAACGGTATTTGAAACAAGAAAGGTGCATACCCCCGTGTCTTTGTTTCAGTCAGGGACATTGCTGCTTGTCTTTATTCATTTAGAGTCCATTTATTTTTAACTGGGATGGGTTTTTTCTTAGAACGCCTAGTCACTGCTTGGTCAGGTACTCGTTGATGTGCTGGCAAAGAGGATGGGTTCGTTTTCGCAACGCTAAGTCATTTCCGTGGGAAGACCATTAAAAGATTAGGGGGGGAGACAATTAAAGGATTAGGTGGTCTTGCTTTCATGTAGGGTCCTCCATATTTGATCTGTGGACCATAAGGTCCGAGGATTATCTGCTCTGAATGCGACCAAAGTATCGTAGTGACAAGTGCAAAGAATTAATTCACGTTGTCGCAGCGGGATCCTCTCACTTTGATTGGTATCGCATAATCTATCGTTCCAATAATTGCGCACATCTGTGTTAACATAAAAGAAAAAAAAACACAAATGTCAGATTGGTGAACCACAGACGCATTTCATGGAAATCGACCTTTACGAGCTCTGGGACAATTCACAGACGCCAGAGTTGCATGCGATAGTCACAGTGCATCCTTTGGTTCCGGGAAATCCGAACACGTGCCCTGTACCACCGATCTGTATAGTATTGGTGCGTATGATTTATGCGACGATCATTGCGGCGAATTCTTTCCACGCAGCTGTGGTGTTGCACTTCAACAAGAAAGGTCGCAAGCAAACTGAAGTGCCTGGTGCGATTTCAGAATTAGCATGTTGATCGTTTTAAGCGATGGTGTGCCGTCCACTTGCGCTGATATTATTATTCACGTGCTCTTCGCAAGCACAACGAAGACTAGCTCGTTTTTCAGAGAAATTCGTTCTCAACTTTAAGTGATGCCAATTAGATAACGGAATGAGCTTGATTGCTTTAGATCACGTGGCTCCTTAAAAACAAGGAACGAGTAAGTCGAGTTGAAAGATAAATAGTTATTTGAAAGCTAGAAATTCGACTGCTTGGGGGAACGAGTATCGATTTACCGTTTCACAACTGTTGTCTTGGCATTTGAATAAGTCATGTGACATTCACATATTTTCGTGTTAGTTCCAACGTCAGCTTTGACGAGTACGACTGCATGAAGAACACAGAACTAAGCGATCGAAGATTACCCTGACATGTTCTTTATTTTCCGTGATGCCAATCACAGCGTTATCTATTTATCTATTGTTCTTCAGTGCGGCCCCCATTTACGTACTACCTGCGTGATTCATGGAATTATAATCAGAACGTGCGCTTTCTTGTGGTCTTGAGTTCTAGTTTGTTCCCTTGATGTTGTTCGTCAATTCCAATTATCTGATTTGGTGTTTCATGTTTGCCCTTTGTTCTTCGCACGTTTTTCTCTGTCTTCGGAAAAATAATACTAGTAATGCAGGATGTATAGTCCCATGATGTCAGGACATGAAAAGAACCGTAACTGTGTGGAAAAAAAAGCCCACACAAAGTGCTTTTTGTTCACTGAACGCTACGGGTCCAAGTTAATACGTGACGAGAAGTGTTCACAGGGTACGTAATTATTGTTGATTTCTTTCTAA